GCTAGACTCATGTGCGGGCCGAAAGCACGTACCAACTTTCCCTACAATCCGAACGAGCCTCAGACGTCCTCGTCAAAGCTTCTCTCGGCGACTTTAGCTGCCAAGTTACACAAATGTCACTTGGCATCTCTACAGCTGGCCAAGAAAAGCGTGAAAAAAGAGATCAAAGACTCACATCCTGGGCATTTCAGGTGGGAAGGTGATCGAACTAGCAGCGAAAGAAATGGAGATCAAAGAGCGGGTGGGTGGTCAGAGGAAAGACCAACTGTTGTCCAGTGGCATGAGATGAACTGGGATAGTGATGAAGGCCAAGGAGATAACAGTGTTCAGCAATTTAGGCCACTTGAGGATGACCATATAGAGCAGATGATAGAGGAATTACTTGATTATGGGTCAATTGAGCTCTGCTCTGCGATTCAAACATAGCTTCTAACCTGTTAGCTCTCTTATTTCTCTAGGTAGTTTCTTTCCATTTCCCGAAGAAATCGTACGATTCAATCCTAGGCCATTGGTATGAAATGCCAAAGACTTCGCCCCGTTAAGTTAGGTCAAGGTGGATCTTTCAAGTGTAGCGTAATTTGACTGTTTCCTTATGTAAGCTCCTTTTGTTTTTCCAATAATCAGTCAGAAGCAAGCAAGAAGGAATGGATGAGGAGAAGTGGAAAAATCCTTATTATCTGAAGTGCCTATCATGAAGCTGATCCAGAGATCCCAAAGCTCAAAAGAAGTGTGAAAACTCTCTTAGTCCTACCTCCTTTGCATGGAGACACGGTCCCGCAACCTCTATCTTTTTTATTTTTTTCCGTGGTTAAAGTGACAACGATCCTAATCGAGAGCAACACTAAATATACTAAAGGTTAACTGGGAACTGTTTGCTAAATGACATGACAATATCGGTGGAATTGAGAAGTGGATGATGAGGCTACAAGGAAGGTAAAACCGTAGGACTAATTGGCACGTTCATGATTTAGAAGAATGGATTGATTTTTATCTTATTGGACACCCAACAACAGAGAGATTTAGAGGGCCCATGTTATGCAATCGTGAACAGTTCTTGACCCTACCACACAAAACACAGCTCAAATCTTGGTAAATAGTAATACCCAGATGAAAGAGGACAAGTCAAAAAAGTTCATGCGCAGTGTTGCTGCAGAAAGAGTGTCATTTCCTTGGGGCCATTGAACAGAGAATGTTGTCCCATTGGTTCTGAGTCCTCCATTTTTCTCTGAGTTCCCAAACAAATCTTGCCAACATCCTCTTCCCGTGCGAACAAAGATCGCCCTTTTTTGTTGGTGGCACTGGCAGTGATGGAGCCATGTCTATCTCTAGGCATACATTCTCATTGTTCTCTCACTAGCCTTCACAAGCTGACAAGGGACTTTGTTATTATCTCCAGGAACATCACTTTTGACCAATGCACTCACTCATCCTGATCACCCTACACAAGAACTACATATTCCTCACTCATTCCTCTAGTGTAGTATCACCACAGTGAACATGTTCAACAAGATAATATAGTTTATAATCCTTGTCATCATGAAGTATGATTGTCGAGGAAGCAAAGGATTGTCTTTGGAGTTTGCTTAAAGAATGGTAAACGACTTTTGTGTGCTTAGGTTATTTAGCAATATAGCACCCAAGTTTTCTTTTACAAGATCTAGCATCTCCCAACACCTTGGACCCACAAATCAATTTCTCAGGCTCCTTGGCATGCAGAAATCAATCATTATATCTTGATTTGCTCGGATCAACAAGATTTTAGCATGCAAATGGACGCGGATCCTTTTGCTCAAAAACTTAAGGTAACTCCCATTAGTTGAAACTGAGTAACTAGAAACTAAAAATCCCATCACTCTGGAAATGTAGATATCAGAGATTTATAATCATCCTGAAAGAGTGGGATGACAATGAAATTAAATCTTTTTCTATGCTTTTAGAAAAAGAATTTCCAAATTTTTGACTTTTTTTTATTTTTGATAAGAAATTTCATACTTTCTCGCCCCTGTTATTATTGTTTTCCTTAATGACTAAAGAATCTTCTTCCTGTCATCTCTTTTTTTTTGGGCAGGTATTTCTTAGTAATTATGTTTTCATTAGACATTGTAGATGACATTACAGATGAAATGTCTCTGGCCTCACTGTAGTGGACCCTTCCTTTTCTCTGTTTTGCCCTTAAAAGAAGATTTTCCCTTCTGCTCCCAGGAAGATTTAATTGACACTCACACAATTTTTCCGCGAAGAGAAAAAAATTTCAAGTTCACGGGAAAGAAATTCTTAATTCGAAAACGCCGTAACTGTACCGCTTTCACCGGCTCAACTTTTTTTTCCCTTATTGTGGTATGAAATTTATTTCTGTGCTGATTGATTTTTCTCTTCCTTCGGGTAAAAGCTGCTTGAGCTGATTTACTAATTGTATAATCATTGAGAAGATGGTGGAATCTAAATCCTATTGTAAACTCATGCTTCATGATTATGAATGTCAATTTGTCTCCCACCAAACATTAATTCTTGGGGTACTCAATTACCATTTAGCAAGATTAACGTTAACATCCTTAGGGTTTAAATTCTTTGCCCAAAGATGCATGTGGGATGATTAAACCAGTTTAATTTTACCGAAGTGATGTTACAGCTCATGCACAGCACCGAACTGGAAACATGATTGCATGTTGCCACATGAAATATATTGTGATGATGAACGAAAAAAAGGAGAAAGCAGTCAAAAGAAATGCAATTTTAAAGATGATGGGAGAGGAATTGGCATGATGAGAGAGACAAACAGGCAATCATATGGCTGACCATCTGAATGATAGCCCCAAACAGACATAGAGATTGCAAGTCCCATGTTTTTAACTTTGGATCTTGTTCATCATGTGAATTGGATACTATGGACTTGAAATTACTCATGCACTTGCAGATGATGTCCAAAACTCACTAGAAGCCAAGGCATGAAGTCTTGTGGCATATGCATCACTATGGCTTGTTTTAGATGAGTTCGGCACTAAATTTGTTCTCTCTCTCAATGTCTGTCTGTTTTTTTTTTTTTGTCTAGGGCCTATATGGATATGGTATGTTATGGGTCTTTTAGTATTCCACTCTTGGTCCATGCCTTCCCTTGGTCCATAACCTTATCTACATGTGGAGTTTGTTCCCATGCATGTTTCAGTGCACATGGTTTTAGGTCTCATTAAAATTCATAAAAAAGGAAGAACAGAGTGTGAATCTCACATGACCTTCTCCACTTAGGTCTGCTCATCCAAAGAAGCTTAAGAAGCCATGTGATCAGAAAACCTTTTCTCGGTTGTCCTATAGGCATCACTAGTTTAATCAAGGAAAAGTTCTTACACAGCAAACTTTTACAGAAGCTAACAATTAATCTGCTTGAGTTATGTTCGATCCCATCGACATTGACATTAGTCGAGCGTAGATTAGTCTCTTCTCAAATCACTTCTAATCTGGCATAGAAGAAAAACTAAAGCATTTCCAAGCAAATAAGGTCATTAGAACTTAGACGTTGCCGATGAGTCAATTATAGTTTATGTGCTTTTCCGTTGGAAGAAACAAGGTCAAGAAACTGCAGCTGTAAGATGACTCATCAGTAAATAATGTGTTTCCTTCCTTCGGCGGTATCGAGGATCAACCAACAACCTGAACAGTTCAAGTAGTTGGACATCATTGGATTCCCTAGCTTCCCCAGATCCATCCTTGAAATGAGAAAAGGCCTGGCTGTAATTGAAAGAATGTTGCTAGCAAAATTGACAAGACTGCTGGCCTAAGCTCTCATATTTCACTACTACCCAGACTTGTTACACCAGAAACGTTTTCTCTTCTTCTTTGTAATAGGAGTCAGCCGCCATATCATTCATGAAACAAGTTTACATGGCAAATTTCAAATTATCATTTGCAAGGCAAGACCGACAAACAGAATTGCCAAAGAATAGAAACAAGGGGGAAACTGGTAGAGAGGGAAAGGAGTTCTGTAGAAAATATTTAGACAGTCTGAGGTGGGTAAAATTGAGATATGAATGAAGGTGACCCTTGTTCACAACTGAATATAAGAGTGCTAGTGAAATCCAAGAAGCACTAAATTTCTCTGTCATCGCCATTTGGAGCTCCTTGAGCACAAAAGTGCCAGTGCAAGTGCTGGCCTTCGCCAAAGAAATAAATTAAATGATTTGAAAATTAGGACGAGTTTATCAATTCCTTCCAATTCCTGTTAATAAGGCCGAGTTTTACAGAATTCTGAAGGAAAGTAGTGCCATTCTGAAGGTATTTCTATCACTATGAGCACATGAACTGATGCAATTGTCCCCAAGATAAACACTTCACACTCAGTCCCTCTTAATTTATCTTGTCCTTCGGCTTTTCTTCTGTAACACAGCCAAGTGGAAGGCAAGCACCCGAAAGACATTGACACAGCTTTCAACAGGATCCTGCTGAATTCAATCCAACAAATAGCGTTAGAGTAAGTTATTACCATGCTCGACCTACAGGAAGCCTATGTCATTATATAATTGCAACAGAATTCACAGCTTGCTGCAACTGCTGCTGCTTTAAGAATAATGTTTGAAATTCTCTATACACTTTCAGGGAAGAATACACATCTACTGAGCCAGAACTACGGAATTGGCATATTTTTGAGATTTGGACCTCATTGCATCTTTGGATCTAGTAACGTGGAGGGGAAGGAAGCAACACCGAACCACTTCCCCCAACAAATCACTCGGCTTTTGCAACCTGAGATAACTGACAATGGAGAAAGGCGAAGCATGAACAGTAATGACATGCCAAGTGAAGAAGAAATGACAAGGTATGCCATCTCCTGGACATTACTTCCATGTGCAAAGAAAGGCATAAAAATATTTGCATTTAGGACTTTACAGCAGCCATCAGTTCAGTTTCAGGTTCCTTTTCGACGGGTTCTAGGAATTTCCACTACCCAGAAATCAGCTTCAGTTCAGGCTTCCTTCTGAGTCAACAATCTTGGCCTTAGTGTTAGAGACAGCGAGAAAGTAGGAATCTTGCCGTACATACCAAAAGAGGGTCTTTTTCCACTTTGTCTGCAACAGCTCTTCCAAAATTTAGCCTCACTAACAGTGAAGCCCACAAGGTAATTTCCTTGATTTGGCGGACGCTCGGCACAAGTCTAAAGACCAGAGTTTGGATCCAAATTTGACCCCTTTGTGTAGGTCATCGTGCGGATCAAATTCAAAACGTAAACGAAGGATGGAACAATGTTTAAGGATGCCTTCTTTAGGCTTAGATTGGGAGTAAAAGAGAAAAAACGTACACTCCATGTACGCCGTGGTATACACAAGAAACGGCAGTCACTGATGTCTCCTTACCAATTATGACAGGCAATAAGGTGCAAAGGCAAATGTTCAAAACCTCGAGTGGATATCATCGCTCGCATGTTCGCTTTTGCCTCTTGTGATGTGATCCCTCCTTTCACCATCCACAGCATTGAATTCCAATGCCCTCAAAAACCGTGAAAGACAAAATGAGTGCCAACAAAATTTGCCAAGCTTAATTTATCACATAATGCCTGGTGGGGTCGTAGTTAGCTGCGATGTTTACTATGAAATTAAATGAGACAAGAAAAGAGGAAGATGAGCTACAAATACCCAGGAAGATCAAAGCAATATCTCATTGGATATTCCTGGCAAATCCTTTGGTACAGCAGATGCTTTATCTTGCAGAGGAGATGGCACAACTTTCCAATCTCATTTCCCTTCGCTCACCACGACTTGGAAAAAAATAATAATGGCCCGTTCAAGATGGCTCTGCACAAACAGCACGAGGAACATGCTGGTCAAGATTGTCCACCCTGGTGGGCACGTCGAGCTCCACGACAGGCCGGTTCTTGCAGCCGAGATCATGCTTCGCAACCCTAGATGCTGCGTCGCATACCCTCATGTGTTTCAGCAGCCATGGGCGATCGTTGCGCCAGACACGATGCTAATGTTGGGCCAGAAGTTCTATGTTGTGCCCGTAAGCACCATCAGGAAGCTCCAACGCCTTTCATTCAAGTACTCTCCGTCCGCTTCTCCTTTCCCTTCTCCTTTCCAGAGTCCCAACACCAAGGCCAAGCCGCAAGAAATTACCAAGGAAGAAGATCAAATGGACTCGACTTGTTGGTCAAAGATGGAGAAGGACGAGTGTTTCTCCAAAGATAGCTGCTTTGTATGCTTGTTTAAAGGAACAAAGCTCAAAGCCAATCCCGAAAGTGCCAGCGAAGAGTCGAGATCGTCAAGTAGCTTCGGGTCTTCGGAGACGAGGGAACTCACAGGCCGAAAGAGGAGTAAGGACATTACAAGAAGGGGAATGAGAGGGTCTCCGAAAAGGCTTGCATCTCATGACAATTGGCAGCCAAGGCTGGAGAGCATCACTGAAGAGTGAAGTCAAATTTCATTTGATATGATATTTAGCTCACGGCCACTCTGGAGGATCATATAATCAAATATTACACCAGGATCCATGAGTAATATTCTTCTTCTTCTTCTTTTGTTCTTTTTTACCAGATACGGATAGTATGCAATGTGTGCAATGTATATGTTCTTTTTACTGGTAATATGTGCAATATATATATATATGTATTTTGTAAGCAACTTCAACAAAAAGGGAAAGACTATATCCACATATGAAGACTTCATGTGCATTTTTAGGCAGTCCAACTTGTAAGAATGAAGAACAATTCATGTGAAATATATCAGATCACAGAATTTGCTCTCAGAATCTCAGATCTCATCAGCTTCTCGCGCGATTTACACAGAAGCTACTATGCAATACACAGAAAAAGGATTAAATCCTATTAATTTGATCAGAAATTGAAATTTCCGTCTGGCAATACATGAAGAACTTGTTAGCAAAGCGGTAGAAGAATATACGACATTGTGTTCACTAAAATATACAGCAGCAGGAAGAGAGACGGGAGAAATGCCTGTAGGTCCGATTTTATCCTGATTCCAATGGAACCAAGTAATCCAAATATGACTTGTCAGAAATCAAAGAACAAGAACCATGCTGAATTCGTCCCCCTCGACAAGCATAAATTGCACGTGGATGAAACTGTAGCCGAATTGTAAATGCCAGTCAAAACCATCTTTAGTTCAGTGAGAAGGGTCAAGACCAACCGTTGGAACAGGTTCTGATACTCTGAGGGACCCTCCGAGCTCGACAGGAACGAGCGGGATAAGAGAATGCAGAACATCCGTTATCAATGGCCTGTAGCTCGGTTCTGGTTGAATACATAGTACTGCTACGGCAGCGACCTGCTCAATCATTTTCATAGGTGATTGATGAAGTAACAAGCAGAGGGTGAGAAGTCCAATTACTAAGAAAAAAGTGTATTCAATCCGAATACCTGATATAAGTGCTTCAAATCCATCGTGTCTTTGATGACAGGATTGACAATGTTTGGAAGCTTTGATCTGTCAGTGAGCTGAGGCATGGCCTGCATGTTGGGGAGTACATGTAATTAAGTTTCAAAAAGAAGACAAAAATTTAATAAGCAAATTCGGAAAAAATTGCCCTAAATGAGAGCTTTTTCCTGCCAAGTTCAAGGAAAACATACCCAGGTTACTAGGGACTGGCATTGAGTTGATTCCATCTTCTCCACAGGTTTTTTTCCCATCAGAAGCTCTAGGAGGACAATTCCAAAAGCGTAGACATCACTTTTATCTGTTAATTTACCTGATAAAGAATCATTTTAGTCTTAAGAAAAAAACAAAGTCTGAATCACGATGATAGGTGCACATATAAATAAGACTGGGAAATATTTAGATATAATCTTGAAAAGAGGCGACACAAAAGCAGAAGTAAACAGCAAATACAACAGGCTATGCTAGTCAGGCTCATCAAAAGAACATCAAGTCACATCACTAACACTTGGAAAAGAAATTCTATGCACTGAGCACAACTTGATGAACGGGGCATTCATCATGACTTCCTAAGATCAAAGAAAAAACAGAACATACCATCCAACAGGTACTCTGGGGCCAAATAACCCACTGTGCCAGAGATCTTCACATTATTTTTGTTTTGAGCACTCACAGCAAGCCCAAAATCAGAAAGCTGTTAAAAGAACAACATTCAGAAGATTTATGCAGGAAAAAGATGACTCCTCTAGAAAGAAATGCAACAAGAGGAGCACTGGAAGTCAGTCAACCTTAGCATTGAAGTCTGAATCCAAGAGAATGTTCGATGATTTAAGATCTCTATGCACCATAGGAGGGTTGCACCGTTCATGAAGAAATTCTAATCCTCTGTATAAACACCATTAAGAATTTGATACACATCAGGACAAGGAAGAAGATAATTAGTAGGACATAAAAGCAACGATAATTTGGCGCCGAACTTGCCTGGCTACATCAACAGCAATCTTCATACGCAGGTGCCACGTTAGAGCTGATCCATGTGTTGGTCCTAGATAACCATCAAAGCATGAATCAAGTAAGGATAGACAGAAATCTCAAAAACTTCAAGGACCAACCAATAACTCTGTATCTCTTATCTCACTGAAACCGGTAAGAGGAGAGTGAGTCCATACCATGCAATTGAGTCTCCAACGACCCATTCTGCATCATTTCATATACGAGATATTGTGTTTGTCCATGAATACAGTAGCCCAAAAGAGTGACTACATTTTGATGTTGGATTTTACTCAACCAATTCACCTCGTTCTGTCAGAGGAAGGAAATGCAAAGAGAAACTCTATAAAATATGAGAGAGAGAGAGAGAGAGAGAGAGAGAGAGAAGAAATCAATCTTCACATCATCATCAGGTGAAAACTACCTCAAATTCTCTCTGGGCATCCTGATCGGCATCATCCCACTTCTTCACAGCAGCAAGGAGCTTTTCACTAAAACGAGCTTTATAGACAACTCCTCGGCCACCTTCGCCCAAGATGCTCCTCTCATGAAAATGATTGGTCGCAGCTTCCAAGAGTTGATACTCAAAAACAGCAGCAGAACCCTTTTTACCAACAACAGCAGAGGTATTCAATTTACCCACCATTGGGTTCAATGGAAGTCCCCCAACATTATCTTCATATGAAACATCAAAGAGATATGCAAATGAGACCACATAGTCATCTGAAGCATAATCAGGAAAATGAGCAAATGCTTTTGGCCAGATACATACCTGAGTTTGCTGAGCTCTTACTTTTAGATTTCTTCTTCGAATTCTTTGAAAGATATATCCAGAAGCAAACGAGAAAAATCAAAACCACGGCAAGGAGAGTAGATGCGACAATGAGTGCCACCAGAATCTTCTTGTTCAAATCCTGGTGGTGCACTACTCTGACCTCTGGCATTCCTGCTTTAAAAAAACGCTTCTTTAACAATGTATCAAAACTCCAACTGTCGGAATGTACATATCAAAAACGTACTCGAAACCCAGACACCATCCTTATCAGAGACAAGCACAAAAGAAGGCCAACAATTAAGGAGAAAAAGATTGTGGAATATTTGCAACGGTGGATTCTCATGATGCTTTATTCCTAAAATCACCACTCCGAAAAAATTGGCAGAGATTATTTCGAGGATTATTTGGGTTATTTCAGTTTGAATCTCAGGAAAAGAATCAGATGGACCATATCATTATTACTCCCGGACAAAGAACAGCAGAAAAAATAAATCTATAAATCTTCCATTGCTGTTAAAAGATGAACTGTTCCCACCAAAACACAATCACAAAATCCAAATCACGAACTTAAATATCCAAATTCCAATTCATTATCTTTTCCAACATCAATACAGCCACACAGAACAAAAATTTCAAATTTCACGAAACAGAAGAACCGAGGAAGACATAGCACCAAGTTGCAAAATTCCACCTTTTCATATCTAAATGCATTTGGTCGAAACTTTCCAGTTCCAAGTGCAAAAATCCAAGTGACCCAGTTTACTCAATTGCACAGTGAACAAAAAGAACTCAAAATAATTCGCTGATGCACATGAAATTAAGATAACATCCACAAAATGGAGAGGCTGACAAGTTCACCTGGAGACTGAGCATTCATTTCTGAAGAAAACTGGGAAACGGGTGCCTCCTGAGAACGCGAAAGGGGGACTAGTATAGTGGAAACAGCAGGGTCTGGTCTGGCATCAGTGATGACAATGGCTGAGAAAAAAGATGTGCTTATTACCCACATGGGCAGAAGCAAAAGACTAGGAACATTCATGTCCTTTTTTTTTTTCTCCTTCAGAGAGAGAGAGAGAGAGAGAGAGAGATTGTTGTGTGAGCTCTATTGAAACTTCATTTGCTCCTTTTCTAGCAAAAAAAAAAACTTCATTTGCTCCTTTGTTTGTTTCACTTTGAATTTGTCTTTTGGTTTCCAAAAGCAGATGGGACAAAAGACTGTCGCAGGGAAACCAAGAAACCACTTTTTCTTTTTCTTTCCTTCAAAAGATTTATTCTCTTCATAACCATTAAAAAAACATCCATCTGTTCCATCCCTTCATAACTGTGGGTGAGAGTGTTTGAAGAAGTGGGGCAAGTGGACACCGAATCATGTGGCAGGAAGAAAGCCAAACGTGAGAGAGTGCAGATGTTAAGGATGGCGGTGCCGCGGTGGCAACTGGGCTTTGGACATTTATTAAAAAAGTGGACTGAGGATTAAAATAAATCACAAATAAGAAGAAAGAAAGAGTGAATAGGAAATCAGAAGTAAAGCCATACTATGTACACTTCTGTTCTTTTCACATTTTTGGTGTATGGCCAATGTACATTAGCTTCTCTAACATTCTTCTCCTTCGCATACTCCTTTTTTTGGCTGGATTTGTCTAAGGGAAATGGAATTGAAAACCTTCTTTTTCCTCTTCTTCTGAATTCGAAGTGACTATGGAATATGATGATTTATACCTACAATATCTTTAGAGAAACATTTAATGAATCACGTTAAGCTGATTCTGTGATTAAATTTTTCCAATTATAGTCATGCACCAAAAGTCTCGAAATCTCTGCTCGCCCTTGATTGCGCTAGTGGGGTTTCCCCTCCGGTTTTTTTCTATTTTTGTACACTAAATTTCTCTTTAAGTTCACTATGTACCACCATTCGGCTTTCACATGCCAACAGATATATGTGCAAAATGTAACACCAAGAAATTTCCTGTGCAAAGGAAGCTCTTCCCACAAAGTGCCTGAGGCAACTACAAATATTGAGCAATGCTAGTGAACACAATAGCTACCAAAAAAAAAAGGAATAAGAAAAAAAAAACAAGTGCATTTCGATATGTCCATAAAAAGGAGGAGACCATCTTTAATCATATATGATAGCACAGATCAAAGCTTCATCAAATGGGAATGTGGTGGCATTTTACCATGTTTAATTATATGCCTATTTATTTGTTTTCCAAATATTTTTATTTATATATAGCGTTACCGCTGAGAGAGAGAGAGAGAGAGAGAGTGAGAGAGTCTGAAACTCAAAATCATGACCTACTCACCTGTGATTTTCATTAACAGTCTTCAGTCTTTCTGTCTTTTGAACACACAGCTGTTGTAAAAGGCATTGTTCTGTAATCACCATACCCATTCACAGCTGACAACTCTCTCTCTCTCTCTCTCTCTCTCTCTCTCTCTCTCTCTCACAGCAATCATGTGAACTTTTCATTTGATCAGTATCTTTCCTGTTTGATGTACGGGAAAAAAAAAAGATGACATTCAATTATTTATGCATGCAGCTAGTAAGTGGAAGCAGCAAAACTATTTGCAAGGGGTGAGCCCATTTCCAGGATTTCATTGCATCTGGTTTCGGTTCCAACCAGAATCCAACCCAGGAAAAAAAAAACAGAGAGCGGTAAATCTGCAAGCTTGGCAAGTTGGGAGCCCATCCTTAACACTGATGAGAAAACACAGATCGAGCCAAACAGTGGGCATACGATTCACTCGACGCGTCGCTTTCGTTATGGTTCGAGGTCAAATAAATACACAGCTAAATACCATTTTGTCAACCCATTTCCATCTCAAGTTCAACACATATCAGTTGGGGCGATGTGCCCTGCAGCTAACCAAAACTATAAAATAGCTGGAGCTGTCCAGAGGTATGATTTCGGTGGCAATGTTGCACATGTGACCCTGTTGAAATGTATGAACAAATCCGGGTCATGCGTGTACTACTTCTTGTTCCTGCCGTTCTTCCATCTTTGTCTTCATTGGCAAAAGAACCACCTTGATTCCTGGAAGGTCCTCGTCAGCAGTTGTACCTTATACATCTTTGTTTATTTTCCCCCTCGGGGTTTGTTTAATATAAGGTCTTGCTCGCATGAGATTTCCAGGCGTGAGTGGGACACGATATGCGGCTACTAATTGACAAACCAACTTACTGGGTAGGTCCGTATCAATGCGAGAAACCTGTACTGACGGATTTGGGGGAGTGTTTGGTAAAACTCATATTCTGTATTTTCCTATTTTTTTATTCCTCGAAACAGTAAAAAAGAACATAAATCCGTTTGGTAACGTCAATTAATTTTTCTGTTCCTAGAATAAAAAGGTGGACAGGGAATAAATTCGGAACAAAAACAAGAAATAAGCAAAAACTATTTTTTTTTCTCCTTGGAACAATTTCTAAAACACGTCATTTTCTTTTTCTCCTTCCTTCTTCTTCCTCCTCTAGCCAGTTGCCGGGCCTCGGCGATGGACCTTGCTAGCCAATCGCTGTGGCTGGGCGAGGTCACCGGCCCTTGTCTCTGACCAACGATGGCGATTGGCTAGACAAGAAAAAAGAAGGGAGGAAAAGGAAAAGAAAAATTAGAAAAATCTAAGAAAATTATTTAAAAACTAAAGATAATCCACATCACAAAAAAATTTTAAGGTCGTACAAAAGCTTTTATATTCTTTTTCTATCCCAAGAATAGAAATTTTGTGCAGTTACCAAACGCGTCCTTCTGCTCAGAAACTCGTCCCGAAGACATAGATATTATCAAACGCATCCTTGGCGACCAGTAAAAAATGTGAAAGTCGTCGATTTGGTACCAACACAAACAAGTGAAAATATTTTATTGCTTCAATCAAAAATTTTCGGGTTAATCGGCTAGCTTCCAAAGTTTTTGATGCGTAGGAGGTGAGATATCTTGGAGCTGATATTTGGTCATGTGAAATCGCGCGACTGGGAAAGGATCTGCAGCACCAGCCGAATCAAAACAAAACGAATTTTGGTAACTGTACTACAAGGATTGCCCCCAAAAATGGCATAAAAAGACAAATATGATATGGGACATGTTTCTCTTTGTTCTTCCAAAGGGAATTGATTTAGTTTTCGGAAGAAATCATAGTTTTTTAGTTCCCACGTGATCTCCATGATTAATTGTCCTATTTAAGTACGTAATTTTGTCGTGTTCACGCCTCTTTGTATAGGGTTGTCTTCGTTTTACACCTACGCATTATTGATTTTCTTTTGTAATGTTCTCGGTTCGTTGCGGATATTAGCTCCGAACATAACCCAATCACTGAGAAAATTACCAAAAAAAGGTCATAAGCATATTATAATTATGCTAATTCAATTCTAAACATTTTGATAATTTGTTAATATAGTCATTCCGGCCAATTTTCATCAAAAAAACACTAACGCGACTGTCCAATTAGTACCGGCCCTCCTGTGTAGCATACCGGCGCTGACGTGAATAATTTTTTAAAAGTTTTGTTCCTTTTTTTCTTTCTTTTTTCATTTATCTATTTTTTTTCTTTCCTTTTCGTCGGTAGCCGATCTCAAGCGATGGTTGGCCACCTGCGATGCCTTGAGAGGGTTGAGTAAGGGCACCCTCGCCGACCACAGGTGAGGTATGGCCTCACTTGGACAAGGTGACCCTCGCCCTACCCAGGCGAGGCTAGGGCGAGGTCTTCGTAGCCTTCTCCAGGCATTGCCGGTGGCTAGCCATCGCCTGAGACCGGTCATCGGCGAAATAGAAAGAAAAAAAACAGAAAAATGAAAAACTTCAGAAAAAAATAGAATTTTCTTTAAAATTATCCATGTCAGCACTAGTTAGCCACACAGGATAATCGACACTGACTAAACCGCCATGCCAGCGTTCTCGTGTGAAAATTGGCCGGAATGACTATATTAGCAAATTATCGAAATATAATTGAATGATTTAAGATTGAATTGGTACGAGTGCAATAGGTTTATGACTTTTTTTTTTATAATTTTCGCTCCAATTACTACATAAAAAAAAAAAAAGGGCGTCAAAGAGCCCCTTGTCCTCAAGCATAACTTCTCACTTGTTCCTATAACAATGAAGGTAAAGAGGGGTCTCTATTGTTAAGACAGCATTAAACTTCCCGTATCGGTCGTACTCCAGCATTAAATTTCGACAAAGGCACTTAGAAATGCCCGAACATGCACTTGTGTCCACATTGATTCTCACGTTCACATATTACCAACTTTGGCTTCGAGAAGACAATAAGAGAGCATTTTCGAGGCGACCAAACTACATCACACATAAAAACAATAATGAAGTATCACGTCGCACATGATATGAAACCAGACCATTTCGTCGGCTATTTGTTCTGCTACCGCAAAAAAGGATAACCGCAAGATGCCGTTGCGAGGCACCTCACGAAAGACATGACTCGAGCCTCTCGAAGCACTCGACCGATCCGATCGGGACGCGACGGCATCCCCGATGCTGGAACCTCTCGCCGTGCTTTGGGAAGCGAAAGCGAAAGCTTGGTGTTCTACGTTTCGGATTTCACGGGTTAACCTTTTCGATCCGGAAAGGGCCAATTGAAACTTTGGGCCCGCAATCGGAATTTCTCGGCCCGTTATCTCCTCGGCCCGACCCAAACGGCCCATTTTCGCGTGTGGCCCAAGAGACGTCACGGATTCAAAATTCGAAAAAAGACACGACACGGAAAAAAGGGAGCCAAAAACACCCGCGGGCCCACAAGGGCGCCACGTGGGGGGCGCCACCAGCCTAGCCCACGTGGCATCCCCCAACCTCGTATGAGGGAGGAATCCACCGTCGTCGTCCTTTTACTGCGTGTCGCGCTCGCTTCGCTTCGATTGGATTCCGTCGGAACTGAGCTCGGAAACCCTGACGATGTCGGACGCATCGGAGCGCAGCAGGGAGCTGCCGCGGGAGGTCTGGGAGACCGTCTTCGCGTCCCTGGACTCCGAGGCGGACCTCGAGCCCCTCTCCACCGTGTGCAAGCAGTTCCTCGCCATCGCCGACGCCCTCCGCGCCTCCCTCTCCGTCCCCGACCACCTCGCCCCTCACCTCCCCTCCCTCCTCTCCCGCCTCCCTTCCCTCAGGTCCATCGACCTCAGCCCCTTCCGCGGCGACCCCTCCGGCGTCCTCCTCCAGATCGCCCGCTCCCGGCTGCCCCTCCTCGAGCGCCTCGACCTCTCCAACCACCAGTACCTCCGCCTCGACGGGCTGCGGGAGATGGGGTCCAAGTTCGGGGCCCTGAGGGTGCTGGTGCTGTCCAGGGTCGCGCTTCTGCAGGACAGCGACCTGGTCTCCGTCGCCGGGTGCTTCCCCATGCTGGAGGAGCTCGACGTTAGCTACCCGGAGCTGAGCCCTTCGGCTCGGGTCACGGATCGCGGCGTCTCGGCCCTGTCGCGGAAGCTGAGGAGGCTGTCGCGGATCGACGTATCGGGGAATCAGTTCGTCTCCGATCAGTCCCTGATCGCGCTGTCCGTGAATTGCCCGTCCCTGAGGGAAATTGGTTTTAGGGATTGTAGCTTTATCACTCAGAGCGGCATTGCTTCGTTGATAAAGAACAGGCCTGAGTTGGTCTCCCTGGCCGCGAACGACATCGGGTTGGCGATTTTGTACGAGGAGCTGGGCGATTCGTTCGGTTACGCGAGGGGTTTGAGGAGCCTGGATTTCTCGCACTCGTTCATCTCGGATGGGCTGCTGATGTCTGTCGCCGAGGCGAATATACCGTTGAAGAGCCTCGTTCTTTCGCATGCTTCGGGGTTTACATTCGACGGGATTCAGGAGATCGTGCTGAAGCACGGGGGCATCGAGGTCTTAGATTTCGAGGCGGTAAGTTTCCTCACGGATCACTACATGGGCGCGATATGCGAGGTGCTTCGCGGCCTGACCTCCATTAACGTCAGTCTCTGCTCGAGGCTCACGATCACTACATTGCATGACCTCGTGAGACGATGTCCCCTGCTGAAGGATATCAAGATGGAGAGGACCAACCTAAAGAAGTATGGTGCTAATGAAACTGATATGGCGGCGAATTCTCAGGTGAGGTCTCTTAACATATCCCATAATGCGAAAATGACCGACGAATGCCTTGGGAAGATCGCGCGTACATGCCCCAACTTGCGGTATCTTAACGTGGGCTATTGCGCGGAGATAACTGGGGATGGCATTATGGGCGTGCTGAAGAGCTGCCGTGAAATCAAGCATTTGGAGATCAGTCATTGCAGGAACACGGCAAATCTATGCTTCGACTTTGAACTCCCGCAGTTGGAGGTCTTGCAAGCAGAAGGGTCGGGACTGAACGACCAGCAACTAGCGGCAATCGGAAGGAGATGCTGTCATCTCAAGCGCCTTGACTTACCAAACTGTTTGAATGTGTCGGCCGTAGGGGTGAAGGAGGCGGTGAGCCATTGCAGGACACTGAGGGAGATAAATCTGAGGTGGTGTAATAATATAAATGTCGATATCGCAGTTCTAGCTTGGATGGTGTCCGCGAGGCCGTCGTTGAGGAGAATAGTCCCACCACGCGGATCCATCTTATCCAAAAGCCAGAGGGATTTCTTCTTGCGACACGGTTGTCTTGTTTGTGATTAGGGACTTCAAAAGAGACAGTGGAGGAGGTAAATTCGTCTGAGAAAATGAGAATGCCCGTGTTTCTTTTCTGTGGCAGAATCGTGCTGTTGTAGCTTCTTTCAATTTGGGACCTCTTTTTTATAGGACAATGAAATTGTCTGTAGATTGCTGTGGTTGCTTGATAATTTGTCAATGACAACTGTACATAGTGAATAATCTATATATTCAATCTTTGATCTCTCCAGCTGGGCTCGAGTTCATGTTTTCTGTGTTCATTGACGAGCTTTTGAGCTTGAAATTTACACTGATTGTAGTCCAAGGTTGCAAGGACATTGTGCATAATCAACAATATGTTTTTCAATGTGCTTCCAGGGTTTCGATTTGGAGCTGAAACCGGATCAAGATATACAGGTTTACATTCGACGGAATGAGGCTAAGAGTTTCTTGATTTCTACACGCTACTTCGATAATAGCGTGGCAGTTCCCATTCATTCTAAAAGAGGCGATACTCTTCACAATGATCATGCGAGTCTCTAGCGCCAAATGAAGTGAGCGTGCCTGTCTGCACGATTCGGATTGTGTTTGCACGATTCGGATTGAAGGGCTTGATCACGACTGCAAGTCTGCAAAGTGGCGCCCCCCCAAATGAGCCGACGACTGCCATGTTTGCAAGACGGCATGCGGATGGCCTGCCGCGCTGCCATGGACACAAATTGATAAATCATCATGGGGATAAGAGCAGAGGCATCTCATACTTCAGTAAAACCAGTCTGATGAAAGAATGGACAATCGCATCGGTGGTACCCGTGCTATCTTGTCTAAATTCAAATTCATCCCTCTTTTCCTTCGGATGATCTCTACTTCTTTTAGAAAGGTCGATGTCGTCTCATAAAAATATCATGTCAAACAAGATAACCGTTCCATAGTCCTTTAGAGTGGCTTCGATGTATTTCTAAGGTTGTTTAAAATGATGATTAGCACATCTTGTGAGGAATGTAAGGTGATGTATGTAACATATTTATTTATGACTTCTTGGAAAAATCGTCCCATAAAAGAAGTTCTATGTTAAATTGCAAGGTTGTAAGGCCGAACATTCTCCCCAGACCTAAACGATATGGCAAAATGACACAAAATGGTCCCCAAAATTTTAGTCCATCATATAATGCAATCCCTGAACTTTTTATTTGTTCAATAAGGTCCATGAATTTTTAACTTGTTTAATGTAATCCCTGAATTTTAGTACACGTTCAATTTAGCCCCTAAACTATATGAAAATATTCAATGTTGTCCCTAATCTTAAATTAATGGAAAGACTAAATTGAACATTTTCATATAGTTTAGGAGCTACATTGAACATGTACCTAAATTTAAGGTACCACATTGAACAAATTAAAAATTGAAGGACCACATTAAACATTAAATTAAAGTTTAGAGACTACGTCGCACGTTGAACCAAAATTCAGAGACTATTATTATTATCCCAAATGATGTTAACGTGCTCACGACTAGAATTGGTGTGAAATATCGTTGGTGTCAATGTTGAAATATTGTGCATTCTTATTTTTCTTATGGCATTTGGCCTATTTCGATTTATAATTCTTGAAGGGTTTGAACCTCATCAGTGCTGCGAGCAAGCAATCAAATGGAAAAGACTGGGTATAAATTCAACTTGCAAAACCAATTCAAACAATCACCCTTTGCAACATATTGTCCCCAAAAATCAAAACAACTTTGAGGCAAATCCCCTAAAAACTACATCTTTGCCATCTTTCCTGTGGCTGAGCAACATTATTGCACAATGTTAAGAATGCATGTCCCATTTGGCCAAGTCTGGTTCAAGAACACGATGCATTCCAAGGAAGAACCATCATAATCAGAATAAAGTGAAAGGAAACTTAAAATCGAAAGAAACAAGAGTGCCGGCTACATCGCTCCGACCCAAAAGAACGCGCAAGCCTCTGATGCACCAGAATTCCTGAGTTTCATTCGATGCGCTAAAGATGAAAGGGACTTGGTTTGCTTCCTTGCATTCATGCGTTCTTGTAGTCCGGGTTATCGCGCAGACCAAGCTTAGAGAGAACCAGGCTGTATGAATCCCAGTCTGTCCTTCGCAAATACTTCAAGTGCCTCTTCCTTCGCTGCACCATTGCCTCAAGCCCTTTTCGAGAATGCTTATCCTGCCAAATCACAGTTCCGCAGATCATCAGATCACCACCAATTAAAACTTGTCCGAACATAACACTTGCCACAGTCACTAGCTTCCTTCAGTTCACTAAGAGTGAAAGATGTATTTATGCATTTTCTTTTTCTTCCTCAAGCAACGTGACATGGATAAGTAGTGCAATTTTGTTTTGAGAAGAGTATACAGGAGACCACTTAAGCATAAATCCAAGTTTTCTTCTAGGAAAAGCCATTAAAAAATAGCGACACGATTGACGGGCAATGATAATGAAGAAAAAATGCAGCACTCAGCTCTTGCAGCAAGCTGCAGAAATTTCTGAATAAGACAAACTACAAAATCACAAAAACTAGAGAATCGCCTGGAGGTCAAATAATAAATTTCAAGATAACATTCAGGGAAACTGGAAATGTTCAAACTACTCCATCATGACCTGTCACTGAAATCTTATAGAATGATTGACACAGTTCCAACCATACTGATCTGTTCTCACCTTTTTGTGCAAGGCTTTCGCTAAATGCTTTATCTTTGTTGTCAGCAGCGCCACTGCAATAGTTCAATGAGAAAACATCTATTACCAAATGAAGAACAAAAGATCCACTGGAAAGCAAAGGGGGAGAAGAGCAAAGCTCATGCTTAAGTAAACCATATCACAATCACTAGATCACATGCAGAGAGAGAGAGAGAGAGAGAGAGAGAGAGAGAGAGAGAGAGAGAGAGAGAGAGAGAGAAACAGATAATTGGTTCAAGCATATAAGTTTAGGCATCCACTTTGTAATGCAAACTTGTTAATCAACATGCCCCCTTCATTTTTACCAAAAAATCCTCACAGATAAGACATAACAATCATGACACTCACAAGTCCGTCAGACACTCTGGACAATCTTTAGAAATCTAGTCATGTTCAAAATGTTTTAGGCACAAACATGTTAAAAAGGGTACAGAATTCACAAAACACAAGCTTGACAGCTCCAAAACCTCCCTCATCAGGCTTCTCTGGTATTCGGAACTCTCCTAGGCCATTACACCAGGCACAAACTTCATTTTGAGTGATTTCATTCTGTGCATGGCCTTTTCAATAAGTACCACATTGTTAAAAAAACCAGAAATTACCTGATTCCATGATGAAAACTTCCAACATATAATAATACAAAGTCCAATATCTCAACGATTAGTGCTAACTATAGTAAGAAGGCTTATTAATTTTGGATTACTAAATAAGGTTTTGGTCTTGTATAGAATATTTAGATAAGCCCACTTCATTAAACAACTTGTCACATCATTCAGTAAACTAGGTTATACTTCAGAATAGTCTGAACAGGAAAACGAGCTTTTAACTGCTGCTTCAAATCTACGACGGAAATATGGCATTCGATGAAGTGTCTCGTGATCAAAACAATACGGTGTCCAGATAGCATCCTATCAAGCCAGATAGAAGAGTGACGTGACAAAATAATAGACACTGCATACATTGATTAAGCTCTGTGAAGAAAGATATAGATTCTAATAAAGCCTACTGCTCGAGAGCAAACCTTGCACACGTGCAGATCCACAGTCTGACTCTGACATTTTAAACTCGTTCCTCACTTCTGCAAGCTGAATCTTCAGTTTTTCTGCTGAAGACATGTTATCTGGATGGAAGTACTGCAATAACAGCACATCTTAGGGCTTTTGACATCATTCACAAAAAACTTAAAAGTTTAAACAACAATTTGATTCAAAAACAAGTATAAAGAAGCAGATAGCAACACATTTGAGTAGTTGCTGACAAACCATCCAACATTTAGCAGGCCATGCCTTCAGTTAAACAACACCATTTGGTCATGCAATTAATCATTGATCCTAGGTCCATAATGCAAATAGCTATTAAAATCACAGCAAATTCACAGGCCAATCAACACATTGTGTTTGAGATATTAATTTTAAAATAATTTTTGTTACTTTTCGAAGGGATATGGAGTTTGCATTATAAATCTCGGGGTACTGCAGAGTCTTTTTGGTGCACTGATGACTAATCTAGGTCAAGAGCATGGTATGCACCTTAGTGCATGTGCATGCTATGTTTATGTGACGCTACAGGCAGTAAAGGTCTCCGGAATGTAACACTTAAACATGGCAGGACATCAATATCCAGAAAGAAGAAAACTCAAAAAGAAACAAGAAAGCGCCACTTGCCTTTTCAACTAGATGTTCCTTTGGAGGATGCAGCATGAAGTCTGGAGTTCCCCCTAACTGTACTAATGCATTTAGTCTCTGGACTGAAAAATAAATCAAATCATCAAATTATCACCACCTCTCGGTGCAGCAAAATACGTCGTGTAGTTTTATGATGGTATTCCATAATTGAAGAAGGCCTCAAGCTTTCAAATTGGAAGCCATGCTATGTTACAAAGAGACTAATGGGACAAACAAATTGCCAGACATTGCAGAAATTGGACAAATCACAGAAGAACTTCTTCAGGCTTTCCCCGGTAGAAGATATCTGGAATTAGACACCTCGGATTCTGTAAAGAAACTGCTGATTTGAGAGCCTCACAGCATAAAAGGAATGATAGAGATAGCAATACCATAGGAGCAGGTAAAATTCTAAGGACAATCTTTCTTCTCTGAGAGAGTAGAAAATCCTTCACTTTTCTTTTCTTCTTTTTTTGCTTTGTTTCCTCTAATTTGCAACAAAACCTTGAATTGGGACTGGGGTCAAGAACACTATAAGGGTAAACATTAAAAAGAGACTAAGAGACTATGATGACAAAATATCACCCCAAAATCAATCTTCATATATAACTAATTCGAAGACTCTTCCTAGCATTTCAAAGTTCATATGTATACAAACACTCACGCGTCGTCCTCTTCGTCTTCTCATCCTCAGACACATTCATTTGGGACAGACTGAACCTCAAATCCCTGAAAGAAGCCCCTCCGATCCGTGACTCGGACTCCTTCTCCTCCATCTCCCTCAGCTTCACCAACCTCTCATTCAACTCCTCCAGTGAAAACCACCCCTTCCCATCTCTACCTTTGGCCACGCTCTCTGACCTCAACATCTTCAACTTCCCTCCCAAATCTGCATAACTATACGTCCTCAACAACTCCGTATTCAACCTGCCATCGCTCCCTTTCCCTTCCCCTTCCTTTCTCTCCCTCATCTCCTTCCCAAACACCGACAGCGGCAAATTCTCGCCGCCTCCGATAGCCACAAAGCCCGGGCCCGACCCTGAGCCCCCCTGCCCCAGCCTCATCTTCAGAGCATCCCTAAACCGCGAGTGCGACATCGAGTCCCCGCTCTTCGGAAGGGCGTCGGAAGCGGCGTTCTGACTGGACCCCACCTTCTTCAGGCTCTCGCGAATCCCATCCCAGGAGACCTTCGCGCCCGGCCTCGCGACGCCCCGCTCGGGACCACCCGGGCCAGCCTCCCCGCTCCTCGCCACCACATTGCGGTTGTACAGCTCCTGGAAAGTGACGGGCCGGGCATTGGAGTCCACGGGGCCCGGCGGCTCAGACCGGCGGCGAAACTCGGAGAGGTTCTGCCGGATTCTCTCGGCGTAAGCGATCCCCGAAGGCCGCTGCTCCGGCGCACCCGAGGCCGGAAACGAAGACGAGAAAGTGGGTCTGTTGTATTGCTGCTGCTGCTGCTGCTGCTGCTGCTGTCGAAGCCTGGCTTTGACGTCGCTCAAGTAGTTAGAGAGAGAGAAGCGTGGGGTTGAAGACTGCGGCTTCGAGTCGGTTTCGTCGGGAGAGGAGTTGGGCGGCGGAGGCGATTCGGCATCTGGGTCTTGCTTCTCGGAGAAGAAGCGGACGAGGGAAGGGCCGGGGAGGGATCTCCGCCGGCTTCTGAGCTGGAGCGCCATGGGAACGGGAGCGTTGCAGGGGGGGAGGAACCCTAGACGTAGGGGGTGAAGAAGAAGAAGAAGAAGAAGAAGGGGAGGCTGCGAGGTTTAAGGGTCTGGTTTTTGGTTTTTTTTTTTTTCTGAAAATGTCTTTCAATTTTTTGTTTTTACTTTGCCAACTAAAAAGTCCTGGAAATTTTTCTATGATTTTTGACCCAATTCCCTAAAAAACCCTCAATTTTAACCTTTATCCCAATTATATCTCAAACTTTTTATATCGGGAGCTAAATTCGGAAATCGAGTAAAAATTGATGCTTTTTTTCGAAATAAAAATGAGTTATGGTCAGAATTATCATTTAAGCTAAAATTGATATATTTTTTTTAAATTAGCCCAATTTTTATAAAGGTTTAGTTCTTTTCGTTCAGCCCTTTCTTTTGATAAATATCGTATCGTACCTTTCTATAACTTTTTTCTATAATTCCTGCAGTTTACATTTTCATGTGATTTCATTTTGGTCTAGTTTCAATTCCATGTAACTCTATTTCCCAATGCACTTCACATTTCCTTACTCGAAAAATTCATTGCTCCATCCAAACCCTATCGTGCTTGCTTTGTGCTCGATTTTTGTTTTGGATTGCGCTTTAATCTTCTCAAATTCAAATTGTCCTGGCGCATTTTCATTTTTTCTTGTCAACACATACCTTGGCACGTCCGATCTTCGCCGCTAATTTGCTTTCGCGTGAATCGCATCCTGACCTATTAATTGGAGATCGGATGGAGGAGGAAAAACATGGCAATTTCGAAAAATCCAAATCTAAGTTATTTTCCTCCTCCTCGGGTTTCCTCCTCTCTCTCTCTCTCTCTTTTTACGGGTGAATTGGGCGAAGTGAACTCAGTCGCGAGATCTATGCAGGCCGCCGCGCTCGGCAATTTTCCATGTTTGCTCTGCTTTCGGGCTAGATCGGGTCTTTGATTTCGAAACATCCGAGCGATTTGCTGAAACGAGATTTGCCAAATTTGCCGGAACCGCGAGGGACTTCCATTCTCAAGTCATGTTGCTTTACATAGTTCCCCATACGAGTCTCTAAAGAATGAATGGAGGAGATGGGGGCAATTCATGAAGGAATTGGCTTTTGGGGCTCCTGAAAACGTGCTGGTGTTGGTTGTGAAGCAGAGAACCTCCATTAAGGCCCTACCAACACAAAGCCATGGATGAATGAACGAGGGGCATTTCTATCCTCTCCCGTGGCCTAAAACCACGGTGAGATTGTCGATCGGGACCGGATGGTTGTCGATCGAGACCGGATGGTTCCAATGACCGACGATGATTTTGTCAATCAACGGCCGACGGCCATCTCATTGATCTGACTATTTATCGAGGGCCCAACAATTTTGCCATGGTTTTTAGCCCATGACATCGTAGAGAGGCCCGCAAAAGGGATCATTGTCGCCATGCGAAACACTGAGTTGTGACAACCACCCAATTCGAGTCCGATTAAAAAGGTTGGTTTTTGTTTTGCCCTTTAATTTGGTATTGACAAGATAAATAAATCAAGCATCGTGATACTTTCGAGAACTTGACTGAACTTGAACTCTTAAAATCTAAAACTAGATAGCTGATATGCATCGAGTTTAGGTGATCATGAGTTGGCGCCCTGTTCGGCTATAAGTATAAATGAATTAGTTTCAACTAGCAATTTCCTTCTCTGGCCTAGCCCGCTCAAGCCCGACCCATCTTACATAGGGAATCGATATTTTTTTTTTCACGTATAAAATCGTCCACCCATTGATTGATCATTGATCTGATGTTAAGCTACCAAAGATGCATATCAACAGTAAATGAAGGCATATAATCAGCACCAGTGCCGACTCAATTAATCTGAGTCCGCCCCGCCAAAGGATTTCTCCAAGAATCGGGGTCCTTTTAGATTGACAACACGTGTTTCGGTACGCAACGATGAAACCGTATCTCATCAAATCGGTGGTCGAAGAACTCGGGCATATAGTGCTCAGTGTCATTGGACACTAGGCGCGAACCGGGTTTCCAATCCAAATTTCGATCGATGCCTTATCTTTACCCGACGCGTACGATCAAATCAACGGGCGACTCCAGGAGCCCGAAACTTCGCACCCTAACGATGGAAAGGCCCAGCCTGTTGGACCCGATCCATTCCCAACCTTGGATAGGCCTAAAAAGGGCTTCAGGGGAGAACCGGCTTGCATGGCAAACCCTAGATAGGCAAGCGGGGACATTCAGCAAAATGCAAGCAGGAGAAGAAAAAGAAAGAGGGCCGAAAGGAAGGTGTTGGGGGGTAGGGGAGGGGAGGGGAGGGGTACTGCATTGGTTGACCGGTGGGTTCCGACTTCCGTCCCACGAGCGACAACGATACGATACATAAGCCGCGTGTAGCGAAAAACAACAACGCAAGAAGAAAGAGATCCATTCCCATGCTGGACACACACGACCCACACAGCACGAGCACGGAGAAACTTCAGAGGTACAGGAAAAGAAAAGGGAGAGAAAACACACTTGAGAAAATGGTCCCTTTTTTCTTCTCGAGTTTTGTCAACAAACGACATCAACTCCACCACCACATAGTCACGTACATATAAACCTCCCATTCCTCTCTCATTTATTACCATCATTTCCCTCATTAACCCCCACCCCCCCCTCCCTCCTCCTCCCTCCTCCCACACTCTCTCATAACAACTTCCACCCATAACTCTCTAACTCTCTCTCTCTCCTCTCTTCTCTGCCCCTCTCTGTCCCTCTCTGTCTTCCGACACGCACGACCAGAAGAGGGAAGGGACGACCTGCAAGGAACACGCATGTCTGGCGGCGGCGGCGGCGGCGGCGGCGGCGACGGACCCGGGTGGGTCGACCTCGCCATGAGCGACGCCTCCCTGGTCGCCGAGCTCCTCGTCCGCCTCGGCCACTCCCGGCCCCCCGCGCCGCCCCCCCTGGAGCTCGCCTGGAGCGTCCGCCAGCGCCGGTCCAAGCCGCCGCCCCGGAACCCGGCCGAGAAGAAGCAGGAGGAGGAGGGGGAGGAGGAGGAGAAGGGCGGCGGCGGCGGCCAGCAGCCGAGCCGGGCGAGCCCCACCACGCCCCTCTCGTGGAGCGGCGGCGCCACCTCCAGCGGCTGCGGCGGCGCCGATGGGTCCGAGGAGTCGCCGCCCTTGGACACCGCCACGAGATCTAAGGTCTGTGAACGCGACGCCCTCTCCCTCTCTCTCTCTACCTTCGCCTACTTTTCTTTTCCCAAAGACCGTGTCGTTCATCTTCTTCTTTCGTTCCCTTTCTTTTTCCCTTCCTATTTTTTGCGTTTCCGCATGGCCCGTTGAATAATATGGCTATTTTCCTGACGGAAATGCCCCTCCCCGCCCCCGGGAGAAGGTTGCATATCCTCGTCGATTTTCGCAGCAGAAAAACATCATCCTAAAATCGACGAAGCGCGTGGATCTTCGGCTCCGTTTCTCTCGCTTTTTTGCTTTCTTTGGTGATTAAATCTCTTCACCCTCTTCATCTTTTTCATAAGCCAAAGATTTATATAAATTATTTCGGGGATTGGGACTAGGAGAAGTCACGTATAAATGACGTGTCGGGCCGTAGCCTGTCAGATTCGCCTCCCCTTTTGCCAAAGAACGAAAAGAAGGTTTCCAAAGTTAAAAAAAGCCATTCCTTTCTTAAATCCTCCATCGATGGACCTTCCCTTCTCACACGCAAAAACCCCACTATTTTCCCCAGAAAATATTTTCGGAAAAAGAAGAAATTGTGCTATTTATATAAATTTATGATTTCGGAAGGAGGAAAAGAGTCAAAATCTCCACGTTTCGTCATCGCCGCTTTTCATACCCAAACCCCATTTAACTTACTCGCCCACCTGTCACGCTCCGGCTCCGCCCCTATAAAGAAAACTCCAAGAACACCCACTCCCACCACACATCCCTTTGAGAAGGGCAGTCTCGTCATTGCGCGTCGCGCGCTACACGTGACGTTGTCAATCTCTAGGTCGCGGGTGTCGGTCAACTCTTGCGGGTCGCGGATTAGGCTCGTCCCCCCCCCCCCCACTCTGGACGGAAACCGCCCCTCCTTTTGGTCAACCCCATCGTCCCTCGCGAGGGTAGTTTGGTCAAACGGCAGCGCGGTCCACCGGTTCGGCCGGTGAAGTGTCTTGGGTCTGCCGGCAGTTTGGTGGGTTGGTTGCGTCATCGTTGGTGGTTTGTGTAGGCTCTCTATGTTGTGTTTTCAACATAATTTTATTTTGTTTTTTTGTTTCTCTCGTGATGATGCTAGATGCTAATTAATAATTACAACGAAAGCTAACATAAAGTGTGTGGCGGGTGCGGCTAAAATTACGAGTCTTGTCACATTCTTTCTCGAGTCGAATTTTTGTATTGTTCTTTTTAGCAGTTTATTTTTAATGACGAAAAAGTGCACTTGTATGATTATATTACGCTTCTAAGAGATATGAATCGACAAGATATCGTGCAAGCGCTTGGTCGCGGTGGGGGGAAATGGCTTGTTGCGGTGGATTGCAGCTTAAGGTTTTCATGTGGACTCACGAGTGCCCGATACGTCATTGACCTCTTGTCGTTTTCGCAACAGTGGCCACCGATGACTCTATATTACGCTCTGTCATCCACAGAGGAATTGTCGCGACAAGGAGGAAAAATGAGAAACGATCACCTTTTTTGAGTGAATTTCGGGCTGCTGCTGAGCAACATTCTCACCTCACAAACCACAGCCCTGGTTGTTTGGTTTTGTGGGTCAGAGAAGGTTTGAGTTCTGGTCGACCAGATGTTCATCTCGTCACCCATCGATCTGTGCTCCTGTGCTATGTAAGTTGAGGCTTCATCGCATGAACAGTATAAAGGATGAATCTTTGGTGATGGGGTTTTGAAATATGGGGCACTAGGATGAATGTAGACAGGTGGGGTTTGGGGGAAGTGGACAGTATTTGGCCAGTGGGGAGTTAGCTGTGGAGGTGGGCACCACTTTGTCTCCATATTAATGGCATAGGCTGACTTCTTTCGTGATTCGAATTACCAACTCGACCTCGCACCATAACCTTATCTTTATAGGCTGCTGCAACTTAGGCTCCATCTTTGCCTTTTCTTAGAACCCTTATTTGGGCTCTAAGATGTGTAGACTAGCGAGGAGTTCGGGCTTCTGAATCTAGAAAGCGCAGAACAAAAGGACAAGTAGTTCGAAACTAGAAGCATTGAACGTGTGAAAATACGATTGAACGTGTGAAAATACGACGTGGGAGTGTCGCCACAAGTGCCGTGCGTGGACCAGGTTCTGACTTCCACACGGTCTCTACTTGGACCGTGACCGAGTGATGAAGAACCTCGTGAGAAATTTCTAAGTAGTTCGCACGTTCTTTCTTTCTTTTTTGGTCCTTTCCTTGTCTTTTGCATACTGAGAAGGAAGAAAGAAACCACGTAAACGCAGTACTGAGAACTTTGGCATTCTCTCATGAACACGGAGACTTAGTTGTGGGAGCTATTGGGTGAACAGACTTTAATTTGAATAAAGAGTCCTCCTCGAAAAGCTGTCTTCGTTGTCTTCGTTTTGTGCAATGCGGAGTTGAGTTGCTGCGAAAAAAAAGAAAAGCGATATGCGTACACCCCGTATATCGGATTAATTTTCTTTCGATATTTGTTGGAGCCGCCCTTTAATTAATCCGCCACGGTAGCGTATTCAAATTTTTGTTTTTATCATGTTCAGGTCTCTATAGCGAGTGCAAGTACCATGTCCGCTACCATCGCCGGCAAAAGGCCGAGGAAGAAAAAGGTATGATTTCATTAAATTCGCGTGGGACCGTGGAAATCCTCTACCGTCACCAGAACATGTTGATCAAGTAAAATTCTTAGGCTTTTGAAAAGCTAGGATACGATAAACAATGTTCATGAAAATAGTGTAGCCTTTTGAAAAGCTAGCTAGTCGTTTTCGAGGGTGTACGCGTTATATTTTGTATGCCTGAAGCATCGCATGTGTTCAAGAATGTACTTGATGCGTAGTTCATGTGTGCACAATTTGCGATTAATTTTGGGACAACCTTTACTAAGTTGAACAGTTTTTGATGCTTGTAGACCTTGGCTGAACTCAGAGAAGAGGAAAGCTTGCTGTTGAAGGAAAGGAGAAATCTGAGACATGTATGATTCATCATACTTTATCTCTTTATGTACATCCTTTTAAAGAGATGCTTGGTTTTAACAAAGAATGTGGCGATTTGTGTTTTTTTCTTTTTCTTGTCCAGGAATTGTCGACTTTACGGCTCAACTTTGAGAAAGAAAGATCCATAAACCAAAGCTTGAAGAGAATAAAGGTAATAAGCATGTCCCTTGATCTGACACATAAACCTATAGCATCTCCTTTGTATATGCATTATATCTATTGCCGTGAATTTATACTTCCTTTCAGTCTCTGAATAACCATCTGTTCTCATGACAGTGCTTGGACAAAATTGACAGTTCCATAAAGCATGTGATTCTAGGCATGACTATTAGCAGTGTTAGATCAGCAAGTTTCATCTTAAGTTACCTCAAATTTGGACAGAAGAACAAAATGGTGCGCGTTTTTTGAAACCCTTCTTTCTTTTTCTTGAATTAGCAGATCGGCATGCAATCTCAAGCTGCGATTCCCAAGCAGCATGAGCAAGTACAAGCACCTTCTTGTATTCCTTTGGAGCACGCCGAAGTAGCAACGCAACTACAGCAGCGTTTTAGTGACATTCCGGAAGTGAAGAAGGTCGAGAGTCGCGAGATGCTCGAGCTGCCTGACCTGAATCTGCCACTAGAAGATGGTGGCCCGGACATTTCGTGTGCCGTGGCTTGAGAGAGCTCATCAAGCCACGGCATGATGTTGCATTCTTACTGGAGTGAACTGACTGATTAAGTTCTTTTGATCAAGTAGCTATAATCAAGGCTGATGATTTTTTTTTAATATTTCGTAGCTTTAGCTGTGGAGTAGCAAGGGTAGGATGGATCATGAGTGAATTAGTTGCTGTAATTACCAATAGCACTTACCGAGCTAGTTAGCCTTACCGCATTTTCACATATCTTTTCAAGGTTACATCCTTAGATTTGTATGCATCTCTCTCTCTCTCAATGCCTTTGTATGAACCGAGAGTCTTTAATGTCATGCATATGTTACGTGACACGTCGAGGTTGTATTGCACGTGTCTTCTTAATTAAGTAGATGCGGATCGACTATTCCCTATATTGAACCCATCTGTTTCCATTTTGATATCGCATGTGTCCACTCAATTCGAAATTTTACCGCATCCAATTCAAGTCCCACCTAACCTAACTCTCTCTCTCTCTAAATAACGTCCATGCCCAATTGCTGCACCTCGACTCGCTCTCACTGCCGTAGGAGTGGATGGAGGTTGCCGTGGCTCGGGCAATTGAGATGCACGGATGGGGCTCTCTTTCTGCATAGAGGGCGACAGAGAGGAGAGAGATTTCGGTGTTTTGATATGATGTGGGCGAAACTAAAGTGGGGGCGCCACGTGTCGTCATTTCATTTTTTTTAGGACATCAATGAGTGACGGCGGATTTGCATCCTAATTAAGTAATCATTTATAGTTTTGTTGAAAAGGCTAACATCGTTTGCAGATATCTTTGCAATAAGTAACATCATCGGCATGGCACAAAGAGATGATACCCACTACCACTAGCTAGCCTAGCCGAGAAACGAGAGAAGACATAACAATTGTTCGAGAATGGTAAGAGTGATAAATCTGGAATGACATTTGGGTTCGAATCATTTACCAAAAAACACTAGAGAGAGACTAGCTCTATTGAAAATCTACCAATCAAAAGACCAAATTGAAAGAGGAAAACCCAACTTTCAAATACATAAAAACTACGTAATCCTATGGAGAATGAAACTCGAATCGAAAATATAAAAAAAAAAATGATGGAAAAGGAGCAGGAGATGTCTCAACATTCCAAATCCACAGCCATTTGTCATGGGCCAGGCCTGAGCGTGGCAGCAGAGAAGAAGATCGCCATCAGTCGCAGTAATTACTGCTTTTGCAGTGCTGGGTCATCCAGTCGTCAGCGGTAATAAGACCGAAATGATGCGTTCTTTGGGTTTCGAACCGCGAACATTTTTTACTTTTCCCTTCGGCACGTCGATCGTTGAGGAGAGGAGGAGGAGGAGGAGGGGTGGGGAGACAGGAGGTGGCGTAGTGGGGGTCTACGAGTTCCAGCTGCGGAAGATCCCAGTAGTACTGCTAGTCGTGACAGAGTGAGAGACAGAGTACACTTCAATCAGTGTCAAGAAAACTGGGAGCACATTGGTCAGAACTCAGAACTTGAAAGTACCCACCACCCCCATTAACAGTAATTACTAATCAAGTACCTTCTTTTCAAACTTTTTATCTAAGTAAAAAAACTCCAGAAGAGGGATGGATTTCTCACCATCAAACCCCCCCTCCCTGTCGAGATCGAGGAGTTAGATCTTTTCAGAAGTTGCAAAAATAACAATTAATGGTTGATTTAATACCCTACAATTTTCCTTTTGATAAAATTATGCAGGACTCACCTTATGAATTTTTAGATACGGCGCAGTGGCGCACTTTCTATTGATTTTTCATTTTGTTATAGACTTTCACTCCTCGTTGACACGCGCACGTGAATTTTTAATAGGTAAAAGTATGTTTTCATAGCAATTTTTTTTAAAATAGGTCTATTTTTAACTTTAACTGCCGCAAAAAAATGAAATATGAAAGTGAGAGAAAAATAAATTTAAGTTAAATACTAATGACAAGAATCATTACGAATCGTAATATTAAAAACTTGTTGGAATGTGAACCACTTTAGCAAAACTTGATGAGATATTTATAAAAAAAATAATAAACACAAATTAAATAAAAAGGGAAAAGGCCTCAATAATGGAAAGGTCAAATTATAAAAATCGATTACTGATTATGTATATTTTAAGGGTTAATTAATTGATGAAAAAAATAATTGATTAATCAAAAATTTTGAAAAAAATATATAAAAGGAAATGGTGTGCTCAACCCATAAAGGAAAACGATTAATCGAAATATAATGTGATATTTTTTGAATTATTTTATTGATCAATCAAGACGGTATGTTCAACAGTTAAAAAGGTTATGGGCAAAACCTGTACAAAATAATTTTACGTGACAATCCTAAATTTCTATCACCGAGTGAGATATGTTAAACAGCTATACAGCATGGTTATTATACACAAAATATAGAGTTGACGTACTCAACATCAAATCAAAGTAAATTTTTCAACCACAATCTTAATACTCCCATTGGTTGTTCGTACTTCGTCAGAGGTATAAATGAGGTGATTAATAAACGAATATACACGTTTGAAGCTGTTCGGTGAAAATGGTAAACTTACTGTTTCTTCATATTTCAGAATCAGATTTAGTTTGTTTGGTTCAAACCGGTAGAATAGAAAACATGCTGATCCTAAAGACAACCATTATAGGAATTTCGACCTTTCGAATGTATCATTTCAAATTATAACTTTTTACATGGTGATAAATACGATCGATCTTGAAGCACATAAATCTATTGACAACATTATGGGTCACTGAAGATTACATGAACTTCATCCATTTTCGAGGGGGAAGACGAAAGCTAATAAAGCTCTTAGCTTAGGAAGGTCTTGTTGCTTGAGAGCTCTAAACATGTCTCGAATATGATACGTTAAGAATGTCCGAACTCAATACAAGTAGATAAAGAAAAAAGGGTGTCCGTCTAAAGTTCGAGTTGCAGCCAGCTGAACCAATTAGGCTCAATGACCGGCGTGATTAGGGAGGTCAAATCGAGTTCATGAACTCAAGCAGTTAAAACCCTAAATTGGCCAGGGCTATTCTATGACTATCGCATTCCACTACAACCTCGTCGTCGGCAGTACACACTACGCACGTCAGTATATGATATTACATAGGATCATCCTAAAACACTGTAACGACCAGAGGGCACTGTACCACCCACACGTCCCCGAATCCATCTTCCTGTTCTCCCTCTTGAAATCCACCCCGCGTTTCTCTCCCACCCTCGCGTAAATCCTCCGGCTTCCATGGGCTCCTCTCATAATTATACACAGACCCAAAAGAAAAATGATAGCCAAGTTCCCCTTTATCCTACAGAGAGAGAGAGAGAGAGAGGCGCAAATTGCAAGCTTTTCACCACATCATAAGCATAACCAGTCGAGTTCTGCTAATTATAGCCATCTTCCCAAAGTTCTTACATACACTCAGTTGCGTTGCATGCAGATTTGTTCGCATCAAAACACAAAAAGATCCCCACCTGCTACTCTTTGACGTGCACCGAGGGAAGACCTGCAATTTCAGCTCGTGGCTGTATTGCAACTACCACAAGCACACTGCTCGACCCAAACATAAGAAAGAGAGCGATTATAGTAGAGCTTAAACAGCCATTGTTTTAGCAGAAGCGTTCCTAAGACCAAAGCCAACACCAAGCTTCAAATCCAGCTCCACATTACTGTTACGGTTACCACCTCCAACGCCAACGCCAACGCCAACGCCACGACCGTTTGTTGAACTGAACAGGTGCTCCAGCGATGTCACGACCGAACATTTCCTCCCGCCACCCACCCCATCCTTCCTCTTCTTCCCTCCCTCACCGGCATTCCTGTTCCTACCGTTGCTGTCGTTTCCCGGCGGCGGCCGCGACAGGAACGGCACCACCGGGGGTATCTGGAAGTTGGTCCGCGCCTTGGCACCCCTCAGCCTCCTCGCCGCCGCGTCGTACGCCCTCGCCGCCTCCTCCGCCGTGTCGAACGTCCCCAGCCAGTGCCTGCACCTCCCTACCCTGTCCCTTATTTCCGCCGACCACCTCCCCCACGGCCTCTTCCTCACCCCCCTATAGCTCCTCTGCCCCGCCGACGAACCCCCCGCGACGTCCAGGGCCTTGCGGTCGCCGTCGTCGTCCCCATGCACTTCCCTAGCCTCAGACACGGCGCGCGGCGAGACGCTCCGGGCAGTCACGCCGCCGCCCTCGGCATCCTTCTTCCTCTTATTCTTTCCGAAGAGCACGTCCTCGCCCACCACGGCCGCGATCCCGTCGAGGACGGCGGGCTTCGCCTCCGTCTCCGTTTCGCCCCGCGCTTCGGACTTCGGAAACTCGAGATGCGGACGCAGATTGCATGGTGGGAAGTGGAAGTGATGATGATCGAATAAAGGGACGTAAAGGAACGGCGGTTCGGCCAGGAAGCGAAGCGTTTCGTGAGCCGAGCATGGCTCGCGAGTGGCGTGAAACGGAACGGGGTTCAGCGTTTGGCCATCCATCGTTCAACTGCTAAAGACAAATGCTCAGGCCAGAGCGAGGTCGGAGGTAAACGGTGTGTATTTATATACAGAGGAAATAAAATTAAATAAAAAATATTTAAAAACTTGATGGGGATTAAATTTTAATTTTTTTTAGTGTTTGGGTATTGTATTTATTGGAATAAAGATTTGAGAAAGGCGATTTAAGATATTCCTGTCAAAATCGATGAGACCGTAATCACACCACATTTACAAGCTTGTCTTTCCTAGGTGGGAGGCTTACATGGTTGCCTCCCAAAATGTCTAGAGTGCCCCCTCAATAAATTATAATTTGCTTTAAGTAAGTGGGATAATTAATTAATTTGGTTAATCTCCTCGAATTACGTGAAAGGTGACAGTCCTTCATAGTCCAAGCGAAAATTATTATTTAATTTTTAGGACACAACTAATCTAATGGGAGGAGGGATAGAAGTAGTCATATGTAGAACTGCTTACCTAATGCCAATGAGCTCACGAAAACCTGCGCTGTGTAAATGAGGGAAGTTAATTTCAAGTTTAGCCCAAAACAAGTGAGTTCCAAGAGCAAGATAGACATAAACATTAGAGTAAGAGCTAGAGTATAGAATCTATCAAGCTCATTTATATAGCAACTTCTGGATGATTGGGCATATACAATTGAGTTAGCCTAACTCAGAGTAATTTGTTTACAACCTAAGCTCGAACTTGAAAAGGAAAGAGTCAGATTAAAAGCGAGTCAAGTATTGAATTTTACTTTTTTTAATGTCAAATGGGTTCAGTTATATTGTATTATCGATCTAACTAAACTAGAATACCATCATTCTCATTGTCTATTGGAAAGTATTAATGTCGAATGTAGATGGGATAGATAGGCATGAGGTGATCACACATGGCACGCAATACATTTATAACCTCTATTTGTTTGATAAGCTAGTTTTTGAGTTAGATATTATAGTATGAAGTATTATAGTTCGTCCCAAATATTATGCAATCTATCATATATATGATATTTCTTGTTCAATTGTCTTGGTATAACAAGCCGCAACACATGCAAAATCCTTTTTTCTTGCAATCAAATGTGTTTTACCAATTACTACCTTTGAATGATCATTAATCAAAAGTCCCCCATTGCTCTAATATGGAGGTAACTTAGGTCTTACATACACAAAATTTTCATTACCTTGCAAATTTTTTTGAAATGAAGAGCCTTTAAACAATTGTTAGCATGCAAACTTTTCGTCCAAGCAAAACAAAAGCATTGTCCCTCCTTGGAAACACTAATCAAGGATGGAATGCCATGGCTCCTTCGATGCAAGATTTCAAGTGCACGGACAATAAAAACAAGTGGGAACTCAAAAAAACGAATCTTGAAGTTTTAAAGAGGGGCATGGATGTAATTAGAAGGCAAGAGCATGGGCAACGGAGGAGATAATGATTTGACAAGGATCATCTATGGATGGGGCTGCGCGATCTCGAGGATTTGAAAGGGGGTCCGTCGACAGCCGTTGGATTGCGTAAAAGCCTTAGGCTTTAGAGCGAGCGTCACGATGTCGTCGCGTCGGGGAGGGGAAAGATTGTTTGACTGCCTCTCTGATGGATGGGGTTTCGCTTTGCTTGCTTTGCACGGAGCCACGTTCCGGTGCTGCCCTGGCTCACCGCTGTAACCCTGCGGCGTCACCCCAAGAACCGCTATGCAGAGGATGGTGCTGCTATATACTGTGGGTTTCTTTGATCGAGTGCAGTGATGATGAACACGGAAGGTCCTGAACACGTCAATCATTGGCCTCTCTGTGTTTTCAAGAAATGTTCTTTTATGGTGCAAGAGATCTTTGGGAAGGAGGAGGCAAAGGGTTTGATCATGACCATGTGATCTTGTGGATGCGTTGCGTGTGGTGTCAATTGACCTTTGAAGTTCATTCTTGCTTTGGTTGCAAGGGAAATGAAATTAGGGTTTTTGAGTAATGGTCTGTGCTTCTTAAAGTAATTAAAGATAATAATCAGAAGAATACAATGACATGGGTTCAGATCATTTTGCAGCGGTAAGAGTTGTAGACAGATAGTGTAATAATGTGGGAAAGACATTTACAATAGAACGTAATAGGAGAGAACATTTTATTTAGGTTATTGCATTGTTCGGATTGCCATCTCGAAGACATGATGTTTAGTTCATCACCGGAACCTTAAGCAAAATATCGTTTCACTCGTTATAATTATTCATGATTTATTATATTAGTATGCAATCACATCGGATGTACTCCGAATAAAAAAAAAGATATTTTGCATGCAATTTAAGAATGTACACGCACTTATGCATCAACTACATAACCATTCGTACATACGCTCGCTGAAGCTGAGACCTCAGCTGAAGAGGAAAAAACTATACTGAGATGCAATGGTATGTTTGACCCATCGAGACTAGCAAGTTGAAACTTTTCTCGAGTCAAATCCTCTGAAGCTGTGCTATAAGTAACGATCCATTCCACGCAGAGTTTGTAACCAAGAAAAGAACCAAGAGAACCATCAGGACCCACCAGCTACAGCATCGTGATTGAAATGGCGATGGCTCGTTGTGGGCAAAACTTCGAGGACGATGGTGGGAGCGCCCCATTCTTGCTTCGATAATAACAGAAACATTCACTAGGAACAAAAAAGAATGTCTGTCTATATGACCCTAAACACACGAAAACACACAGTGTTGCTTTTTCGAGAATTCAGAGGAGGATTGTAGTGTTTATTTCGTTTAATTTCCCGAGAGCGAGGTCGTCGCGAAGCACGCCAAGGTCTAGTGTTCTGCAATCACACACACTTACACACAGGCTCTCTTCGGACCTAGAGATTTTCTCTTTGCTATGAGGATAAAAGAATGGACCCCAACTTGTCTTTTTCAGGGTTTCGAGGATCAAGGAAAGGGGGGAGAGAGACAGAGTGGATCAGAAAATCCCAAGAAGTGAAACGAGACAGAGAAAGTATGCTATGATGATATCTTTATGGGTCTTGTACTTTAATGGGTCGTCGTCGAGTGGATGTGCATGTGCATGGGTTGCTTGTGGGAAATGTGTGGGATTTGCTCGAAATGCAGTACAGACCTTTAGATTTGTTTTTGCTTTTGTTTTTGTATGTTTTTTTCCCTTTTGAGGGTGTTGATGTTGCTGCTTGTGAATATTCTCTCCCACTTCAGTCGCTTTATTCATGAGAATGTTAAAATCAAGGATTTGCGAGGCTTAGAAGATCGAAGTTTTGGTAAAGCCATTGTCTTTATTATCTAGATAGCATTAAACTTTTCATATTGCTCATACTCAAGCATTAGCCATTGTCGAAATTTCCACAAAGGCACTTAGAGATGCCCGGATATGGCACTTGTGTCCACGTTGATTCTCAGTTGCACATTACTAATTTGGCTTTTAGTTTCGAGGTGACCAAACTAAATGCATATGTAAAACAATCAAGCGTCGTGTCATACATGCTTTGGAACCAAACCATTTTGTCGGCTATTTTGTGCTACTACAAAGAAGGATAAATGGCAAGATGACATCGAGGCACATCAGAAAAGACATGCAGACAAATTTATCGAGCCATTTAAAGTACTTGACTAATCCAATTAGACACAACAACTCCCGATCCGGCTGCAATCGAGTGATCGCGAAGCTTGAGAAAGTTGCAATTGCTGGTAATGGAACTTGTCGCCATGTTTTGGGAAGCGAAGTGATGTTTTGGTGATCATCATCATCTTCAACCAGCTCCATGAGATGAGCAGTTTGGGATTTCACTATTATCTTTGATTAGAAAGGGCATTTGAACTTAGGCCCATTTTCACGCGGGCAACAAAATCGTATCACCAGCACAGCACATCTAAGAGTTTTTGACATCATTCGCAAAGAAAACTGAGAAAATTGTCCAAAACAATCATAAACATATTGTACGTCGGCCAATTCAGTCTTAAATATTTCAATTATGCCGATTTAGTCCTATACCTTTTAACAAATTGCCAATTTAGTCATTTCGATTAATTTTGGGTGTAAATCATTGATGTGGCGGTCCAATCTAATGAGGCTATATCTGAACCGAATCAGAACAATCACATAAATAATAGAAAAATTGACACACGAGTTTATCCAGATTCACTCCAGAATAGGGCTACGTCTTGCAAAGGGATTTCACTATGATATTTAGGTTTTACAACCACAACCACTCGTTATAATAATCTCTCATACGAGTATAATATATAGGACTTAAATGGGCCCAAAATCCAAGCCTATCCGAATCCATTTAATCCCACAACAAACGGGTCAGCTTAAAACATAAGCAAAAAAAAAATCGATATTGTTTCAGGGGCGCTGCCCCCGAGCTCCCGGTGAGCTCATCAGAGAGTGGGGCTGCCGTCCGCTCACTGAGGAACGGAACCCCCGCCCGCTGTCCGGTCAGCGGGACCCCCGTTTCGGGGGCGCTGCCCCCGAACCCCCGCATACCGTGCGCAGGGATCACATGTCATTCGATCATACTACGGTTTCCCTAAGTTCATGTGGGTGTGCCTAGTATGAGAAACAAGAATCCCCGAAGTATTCGCCAACTCCAACACAGTCGACGTCGCCTATCTTACATGGCACTGACGTAGATAATTTTTTATGTTTTAAAAAAAAATTCAGAATTTTTATTGATTTTTTATTTTATTCTTTTTATTCTTTTATTTTCTTTTCCTTTCTTCTTCGTTGAGCCGCCGGCCACTAGCTGAGGCCTGGCAACCTTCGCCGACCACAAGTCGAGGGCTGGCGACCCCCGCCAGCCCCTGGGCGAGGGCCACGAAGCTCTCGTTGCGGCCGGTGAGGGCGTTGCGAGCCCTCACCTAGCCCCTCGCCGGCCACTCGAGGGTGTCGTGCAAGGGCTCGCGAGCCTTCGCCAAATTCAGTGAGGGTCATGACGCCCTCACCCAAGCCGTCGTCGGCAACAGCGAGGGTGGGCGAGGGCCAAGAGCCCTCACTCATGGTCGGCGAGGGCTTCGCGGCCCTCACCCAGTAAAAATAAATC